CACCCAATATCCTTTAGTTTTTAGTTCTATTTATTTTCAGTTTGCTTTTTTTGATATTAGGAAAGTCCCACAACTGTAAATGATCGTAACTATGATACTCATCCTCCCTGGTTTTTTTTTTTTTTTTTTTTTTTACATATCTTGACTTGTTTCCTTATCCATTGCTTCTGATAAGATTATGCTTTGGGGTGCCTGGGTGTCTCAGTCATTTGAACGTCAGACTCTTGATTTCAGCTCAGGTCATGATCTCAGGGTCCTGGGATCGAGCCCCACATTGGGCTCGCTGCTCGAGACTCTCTCCCTCTGCTCCTCCTCCTGTGCATGCACGTGCGCACACACTCTAACTCAAATAAATCTTAAAAAAAAAATTATGCTTTATAATTTGACCTATTCTGTTCTCAATTTAGAATAAAGTTCAAGTTTAGTTCCAAATGAACATACCCTTTATATTTGATACCTGTATTACTGTGTTAAGATTATAAACTCTCTTCGGGGCGCCTGGGTGGCTCAGTCGTTAAGCGTCTGCCTTCAGCTCGGGTCATGATCCCAGGGTCCTGGGATCGAGGCCCGCATTAGGCTCCATGCTCAGCGGGAAGCCTGCATCTCCCTCTCCCACTCCCTCTGCTTGTGTTCCCTCTCTCGCTGTCTCTCTCACTGTCAAAAAAAAAAAAGGTTATAAACTCTCTTAGAAAAATACTTTGAGGGGCGCCTGGATGGCTCAGTCAGGTGTCTGACTTGGTTTCACCTTGGGTCATGATCTCTTGGGTGATAAGATCGAGCCCCAAATAGGGCTCCCTGCTCAGTGGGGAGTCTGCTTAAAGATTCTTTCCTTCTGTCCCTTCCCTCACTTGCATGCATGGTCTCTCTCTCTCAGATAAATAAATCTTTAAAAAATAAAGACCTAAACCAAGGGGCCACCTTCTAAAACAACCTAATAAAGACAACTACATCATTTGTCACCCTGTTTTTGTAAGTCATGTTAAACGTTGATTATATTAGCTTAGAAGAGGGATACAGTTTGAACTCTTCTTATTGTTAGAAGTCCCAGAACTGAATTATTTTCACATTAAAATAGCTGTTGGGTTGTTCATCCGGTTCAGTCCATGTATACCTATATAACTGTTCTGTGATCAGATTCATTCTTTACTGGAAATCATGAAGCTAATTTTACAATATGAAATTATATTAGGAGAATTTCATTTATTTTTCCTACAGTTAAATATTTTCTAATAGTTGTGGTTCCTAGCTAAATAATCATAGATAATTATTTTTTAATGCCTACTATTTTGTCACAAACATTTGATTCTTTGGCTGCTGAACATTTGATTCTTTGGAGCATTCATTCATTCTCCAGATATTTATCGAGCACCTACTTTATGCCAGTCCCCATACTAGATGCTGGGTGTGCGGTGGTGAGCAAAAGCAGGCAAGGGACAAAGATTGCTACAGAAGAAGGGTACTTGCTATTTTATTCTCTAATACCTCTCTTTGGTACTCTTTCTCCTTCAAGTATCTTATATAATGCTATGTACATCATAGAGCATACAGGAAATGATTCTTAAAAGATGGAACTGAAATAGTAATTGATGCGTATAGATTAAGTTGAGCTTTAGGTTTAACTAAATCTGAAAAGGGTGGGAGTGCAGAAGAGGAAAATAAGGAAGTTATAATGTTGGGATTATGAACATGTACAAGATTTATTTTTAAAGGTAATTCTTTAAGTTTTAAATACCTGATGTGTGAAGTACTAGCAACTAAGGTAGATATTTCATAAAATCTGAGAGCTGAAAGATTTAGGGAAGTCTTCTGCTCAAAGTTTCTATCAGTGCAGGTATCCCTTTGTCAACATCCATTCATATAGTGCCTGATCATTTTCCCTGAAATGGAAATCATTCCCTCACTATCTGTTCTGTTTTGGAGACAACAATAATTTATTTGTTTATTGTTTACTTGTTTATTTGTTCATTTCATATTTTTTTTTAATGTTTTCCTATATTAGTGGTGAGTGAAGATCCTATAATCAGCCTGCGTAGACCCCCTCTAAGAAGTCCAAGATCTGGTAAGAGATTGTTTTGTCTGTTGGTTTAACTGTTTTATAAATATAGTTTTATTTTTAAATAGGTTAGCACATGTATTCATATGGTTCAGAATTTAAAAGTTATTACAAGTATACAATGAAAAGTCTCCCTGCCCTCTCTGTCCTTTACGCACTCAGTCTCCTCATCAGAGGCAACCAATGTTTTCAGTTTCTTAGGTATTTTTTTAGAGATATTTTATGGAGATACAAGGAAACTCATGTATAAATATTTTCCCCCCTTCTTAACACAAATGTTAGCCCAATAAACACTCTTTTCTGCACCTTCCTAATTGTTTTTATTTCTATTTAATATATTAACACATCTTTCCATATACATATATGAAGGGCTTTCTTATTCTTTTTAAGAGGTTGTTCTTAATATGTTGCTATGATTCTTTTTGTTAGCATGATGATTTTAAACTAGGATCAGGGACTTTTTATTGTTCCCAGCATAATGCTACTAAAAAAAACCAAGACTGAGGCTTTAATAGCTCAGGGCTATAAAATTTTTCTGCCTCATTTATATTTCTTTTTGACTAAAACCTCTAAGAAATGTTGCCCTTAAGTTGATTTCTTGAAAACTAGTAAAGTCATTCCAAGCAGTCTACTCTTGCTTCATTTTCAGGGTTTATTAGGGTGCTTTCTCATGGAAACTAAAAAAGAACCTTATTTATCTTCACATTAGGTTTCTACTCCTCAGTCCTTTTCTTTAAGAAAGAATTAGGATGGGGTTTTTTGATGGATGGATAACTGTTATTTTAAGTATTATAATGATAAAGATCTGTTAAGGTTTTGATGATGAACTTGTGGTAAAGAACCACATGATGCATTTCCTTTTAAGCTCTAATCATTTTCTTGCTATCTCTCTTGCAGATTCGGCATACAAAACAAATGGAAATACTAAAATGAGTGAATTAGGTTTGTTTATCTCTAATTCTTATAGGTTCTTTTTGAGGATTTTCATTACCAGAATACAGGAATATACACATTTAGTCGTGGGCTTGAGAATATTACTTTGTTCATTATCTCAGCTTGTGGGACACTGTCCCTATGGCCATGATCTTTCTTAATCACCCTGGTTTTTATTCTATCTGAAATTATGTCTTTTGTCATATTAATTTAAATTCGTATATGAACGTGTAATAACAAATACATTTTAATTTTTATTAATTAGACTTTGTTAAATTCACACTGCTGAGAGAAAAGGGGATCTCAACTTACATGTTCACATTTTTTCTTGATTTAGAAAGTAAATTCTAGATGTTTTTCATAGTAAGTTCAGTGTCCTTTGCCATGTTTGTTGAATTGGTTTAAATGCTTTTCCAGTGTTTGCCTTGGTGTAGGACATGAGATACCAAGAGTGAACCTACATTGATTGTGGTTGGACTTAGTTTTAAGTTACAGTATTTTTCTAAATTTAGAGATGAGTCAAAAGGAAGGAAGCTTCCTTTTTTTTTTAATAACTTGTTGCAACTTCTTTGAAATTCATCTTTCACTTAAGTTCAGGCTGATTTCTTAGAGACTTCAGGATTTAGTGTCTGGGTACTGAAAATGTTCCTTGCAGTATGCAACTCATCATGTGTACTCATACCCACCAGAGTTTCTCAAGTGTTCTATTTAAAAACTTAAAAAAAAAAAGTTTTTAAGTTACAGTCTCTTAATTGGAAGAGAAGTTGGAGCTGAATTAATCCAGTACTTCTACTTTCTATTGTAGATTTAGAAATTATTTTTGTAAGTACTTTATAATAAGAACTAACTTTTTAAAAACTGCTTTCCAGTTTAAAGAAAAATTTCTACAGGATTAATAGAGAATGACATCCTCTCATTCTTTTCTATAGTAATGTTAGTACCTTCTTAGAGTATTAAAAGTGACTATTCATGGAGCTTGAGTACTATTGATATCCCTAAACTATTCTTTACACCCTCCTTCCTGCTACCCCATTCTGACTCTTCGCGAAAGCGTGATTGGCACTGAATAATCTTACAGGTACCGCTCTTAAAGGTGTCTCTATGGGGAGTTGGCCTCCGAGTAAAATCTGACCCGCAATCCTGTTTTTATACAGCCTGTGAGCTAAGAAAAGAGACCTTGCTTGGCTGGCAAAGTCTCAAATATTTACTGTTTGGCCCTGTATAGAAAAAGTTTACCAGTCCCTGGTTTATACCAGTGGCAGGAATAAAGACCACAAATTACTCAAAGTGACATTTGTTTGTTCTAAGAGTAAATTCAGAGAGTTACATACTTGCCTGGACATAGATTTATCGTAGCACTCCATATTAGCCTGTATGGACAGCACAAGAAGAAAGGAGGCAAAATGACTCCTACATTCTATCTAGTCTTCTCTTTGAGAAAGCACCAGAATCTCATTTACGAAATCTTCCTTTGTCCCCAGATAAGAGCAAAAAATAAGCAAAGTTTTATTTCCTTGAATATCCTTCACTTCTCACAGCAACACTCAATAAGTCTCTTGGAATAGAGACTCTATAATAAAGGTATACTTGGAACTTTGTATTTTCCTTAAATTCTGTAACCAGGCAAAAGAAAGTGGTACAATTAGTGGTTGGTTTCCACCAGGAGAGATGGTCTTAAGTGATCTATTCTTACGACAAACAAGTTCCTAGGACTTCTGAAAGTACCTTTTTCTAATTGGTTGAGATTATTGGAAAAGCGGTACCTCCTTCACAGCTCCTTTAATTATTGCCATGTGGCTATTAAGTGCCACAGCTTTTATAATTATTTTTTCCTTTTGGACCCACTTTATTTGGAATCAGGGTGGGGAGGGCTCCAGGCCCGCTGGGCCCGCAGCAGTGCTCGCACCTGGCTGATCCGCCAGGCGACACTGGAGCCCACCGTGCCACTCAAGGCAGTGTACTGCTCCACGCTGTGTCTGTAGTACCACGGGCAGCTTGTGTCACCCACGAACAGGGGGCTGATGGCGCGTAGCTCCTTCAGCGATAACTGGTTGAGGGCAACCCCCTTGGTCTTGGCCATGAGCACTGCCTTCTTGGAGATCTTGTCCTGGTGGAATGGCATCCCTTTGCGGACCAGGTAGTAGGTGAGGTCAGTGGCCAGAATGTCCGGACTAAGACCTGTGCTGTGTTCTCACAGTGAATCTGGGGGACACTAGTTGGGGGGAGGGGAATGGTGAGTCCTGGGGACCCTGGGTGGTGAAGCTGCCAGCCCCAGGCCCAAGCTCTACCCCCCTCAGCCAGGATGTCCCCAGCTGTGGGCGGATGTACTCTGACCCAGCCTATTCTCTCTGCTTTGCCACAGCTTTATAATATTTTAACTTTTTTTAAAAATTAAGGGTATTACTGCTCCAAATAAGAGTTTAATTTCTCAAAGCTTCTGCATAAGCATAGGGAAGAATACCTTTTTAAAAAACAAGTGTTTTAACCTTCTACATGTAGAAGCAAAGAGGTTTAAAATAAAGGAAGATGAATACAAAAGAGGGAAATGAAATTAAAACTTCCGTATAGTCCTAGATGCTGCTGATTCATCATCAGATTGTATTTAAATATTTATACATTCTTTGCAGCTTAGGTTAAAAAGATGAAACTGGAATGTTTAAAACCTTGCATGAAACCTAATTATTAAGCACTAATTTCACACTATTTTCTTGAGTGGTTAAGTAATGTTGTCATGGTATGAGAAATATTATATTAACAAAAGCCTTAACTTAAAAATCTTTATTCTGTGATATAAAAATCTATTCATTTATTATATATATATAGATTGATCAGTGGCCTAAATGCTAGAACCATAAAGAACTATGACTTTTTTTTTTCTAGCTCATAACAGTACATGATCTAATGGAAAAGAAAAGTTAGAAAAATTATTGTAATGCTGTAAGTGTTGAAATGGTGGTATGTGTATGTGATAGCCTGGAGGAGAAGTGCCCCACACTGCAGGAGAGGTTGGGAAGGTTTTCATGGAGGAAATGGCATTTGACCTGAATTTTGAAGATGAGTAGCAAGCAGAATTTGCAGGTACTTGTAAATGTCTTGTAATAGACATCACTATCTTCAGAGTCTGTGCAGTATGAGAAATTAAACTCTTTTGCATTAGAGTCAACAGTCTCTGATTAGCTGGGACTCTGAGATATGTTAAATAACTTTTAGGATGACATTCTAATAGTAGACTTGGAATTCTTGACCTTCATTGACTAAAATGAAAATCATGTTTTAAAAAAATTGTGAATATAGGCAAGACAATGGGTAGACTGATACAGTGATGTTTATTATAAAATCAAATAAACCTATAGGATTTATTATTTAGAACATCTAATTCATATCATTGGACTATGCATAGGCACAATGATATTAGTGATATCATCAAGACAACCTTGTTTAACAAGTTACTGTTCATGTCTTGAATACTATTGATAAATATTGTTAGAAAAATTCTAAAGAAAGGACTTTTAAAGACTAGAATCAAAGTTTTAAAAGTGTTCAAAAATAGGTAAAATCCATGAAATAGGGAATACTTCAAATATAATGGTATAAAAAATAAATGGGGAGCTCCCTTATATAAGTTGGTTAAAAAAATAATTCTTAAATTCTCCCCCAGGCTAATTAAACAATACATATATAAACAAAACAAAAGAAATTGAATTTTAGGCAACCTTTATATGAGGGATTGATTATTAGGTGAATTGGCTCTGAACAAATTGACCTGGAGTTTAAAAAGTATGCGGAAATAAATTAGGATCAAAAAGAGAGGGTAACTACACTATTCATTTTTTTTTTTTTTTTTACTGGTAGCTCAATGAAGGAATATATAGATTCTAAAATCAATTCGGCCTTAAATTTTGCTATACCAAGTAATTTTTAAATTATATAAAACATAATGCCCTAATATAAATGTGACTTTAGCAAAGCTGCTGTTGTAAATGAGTTACCCTTAGAAGTTGTTGTTTGTTGGAACCTCAGAAGAGTTCAGCCCCTCTGTCTTTTCTTCATCAATTTATTCAAAAAATTATTGA